CCAACGATCACATGCACCTTGTTCATGACTTGTCTTCCAAACGACGCTCCCAGGGAAAGTGGTCTAGGCACTAGATTCTCATTAAAGTCCATAAATATATATTACATGCAGACAATGCAGCATTCATTCGAGAGTGGTAAGGGAGCAGCGGCAGACGGGTGGAGGAGGGGTCAATTGATTAGTAGATTGTTTCGTATATTAGTGTCGGGCTCAAACGCTACATGTGGCGTGAATTATCGCTTATTAACTACTAACTGCGTTGAACAATCAATTGATCACTGTGTGTTTTGATGCAACCAGCCGAAAAACGGGCAGAATAATATCGACAGCTTCCTACGTTGGTACTATGATGCAAAACCGTGAGATACACGGCCGTACTGTTTGATGCATGCGATTCACGGCTGCCTTTGCCATTTGCCTCGACCCACCTCATAATCAGCACAGCATTTGAACGTAAATTTAAAAAATAAGCGCGTCACTTTTACTACTTAAATAGAAGCAAATATGGCCGAAAAACATATTGTGGTCACGACGCAGGCGGCCATCAGACACAGATACAGCATGAAACTTTACAGGATCAAACGGTGGAATGGACAACGACCGTCGGAAAGGTCACCCGATGTAAATGCACTTACGACATAAGGAGTATGCGATCACAAAGCAGTATACTGCAGAGTACAGTGCGGTCACATCATTTAGAAGGTCATCCGAAAAGTCTGTCGATTCAGTGGAAAAGACAGCGGTCGTTAGAAAGACCTCGTCAAACAACTGCCCTCATGACCTCAAACAAAAAGCTAGCAGGAACTGAAAATCAATTGTTAAAATATAAACTGACTAGCATGGACGCTAATGTTGCAAACATAAACAGCATGAAAGAACGGAATGAGGCGATTCGGAAAGAAGCAGAAAAAGAAGAGGAAGAGGAAGAAGAATATGTCATCCTAAGGTCACGGCGTGATGGAAAGGTGTTGAATTTGTTTCTGTTCGTTTAAACTTCATGTGGAACGGATTACTGTCATCGGTAAGTAACGAACTGGTAAATCACCGCATTACATACACTACAGACGACACTAACCGATCAGTGATTATTATCAGAATCGATGTCAGTGGTACGTGAAATTAGCACAGTGGACGGACGCATGCGAGAAAAATCGTTTCGTAAAAACCATCCGATCGATGGGGCATGTAAAAACTTTAAAATGTCGTGAAGATGCAATGATTTTGCAGCAATTTATTCACGTTTGCCAGCTGAATTTGTCGAAGCATAATGAAGCGAATATGTTGCTCAAGGAATACTCAATTAACGACAAAAAATGTACGCCACGCTGAGATTACCAACCTCATAATCTTGGAATGAAAAGCCAACGTGCAATTCACCGCGTCACTCACTGACCCTCATTTGTTTACACTTCAAACTCAGTCCTGAGACTATCGAGGGACCTGGCTTGTAAAAACAATATGTTGTTAACGTCGGACAACAAATAAATGAAAGCCGATAGCGGATAACAAAGATCACCGCTGATGATCACGCACCGCAGGATAGACAACCGTTTGAAACGGTACAACGCCGACGGTGGACCGGTGGCTGCAAGATGCCGACTGATCAACACGATTAAACCTTAAAAAACAGATTTATTCCAGTTACTGCTATAACGGTTCACTCGGTTATTGTAATTATTGAATGCGTATATCACCTGATTGGCTACGTGTTCGAAACGGCCGATTGAAAAGTTGAGGAAAATCGAAACTGAAACTGACCCCGTGATGCCGACACTCAGTCGTGCGATTCACACACAAAAAATGGACGGTGAACAACGGCAATGTGGAATGGAAAGTTTTTACGAATTTCGGTCGATCGCCTGGTAAGAAAAATCAAGTCGACAAGGAAGAGAAAATGAAGTTAAAGAGAAAGAAGTTACAGAGGAAGCGAAAATTGAATTGAATTAAAAAAAGGAAGAGAATGAAGTAGGAGAATGCTGCGGTAATTTTTTATCTCACAGCATCTCAGAAACTAAACGCTACTGACCACTGTCCATTTCTTGCCGTGTTAAAAGAGAATGATTGTTAGGCTAAATACCTGTGTACTGTTTTTTCGGCAATGATGAATGCTATTATTGAGTACTGACAAGTCGACTGCTGTTTCTCGAGGTCGTTCTGTATATTCTGTTATAGAAGATTAATTGTTTTAAATTGTGATGATAAGGGCAACAACAGCAGCAACTAATAAAGTTCTGTTCACCAAGACCTTATCCAACCTTAATGTTTTTACGACAGTAATCGCGTAACATATCCTTTACAACGCTTTATCATTCTTTACTTTACTTTACATCACGAGGATGCTTGATTTGCATCCTCCGATGAAAATCTTCGACTTTCACCGTGAACAAAAGCATCATCATACCGGCGAGACAAAAAAAGCATTCATCCAATAGATCAATCATGACAGCGTTGTGTCATATGTTGCAAAAGAGCCCACCATCGTTGAAATAAGTGCCGAGATAACGCTAAGATCAATTTACCCAGCCAAATTCCTAAGAGGATAAATGGCAACAAAGTTACAAAGTTACAGTAGCCGAGATGCCGGCGTCATATATTTACAGAGTAGGAAAATTTACGCGATAAATACAAAATTAGACGTCATTTAGAAGCGGCGTAAATGCCACATTTGACTAATGTTCCAAAGCGTGGGAACGACGGTCGGTGAAACTTTAAACTTTGCGCACAATAGCACCAAATCGCTGACTCGCTCTACCTCAGACAAGAAAACAGGCTTGCAGCTGACGGAGGGGAACAATCGTCATGCGCGTTACCTCTTTTTCGGTGGGTACATAATATGCTGCAGAGGTTAAACGACCGTCAAGGATTTGCTTAAAGCTGACCTTAGAGCGTGCGCTTGTGGCACATGTTCGCCGAAAGAAAATACACGCTCCTAGGCCGTATGTGAAAAGGCTGAGATACGTCTGACTTAAGAGTCCCCGACCGGCTGGCTCGCTGACTGGTGAGTGACTGACTGACTAACTAGCTAACTAATAGGGCCAGTGGCTTTGTGTGACAGCACGATGGCTACAATGTAAAATATACAAGGAAAACGAAACTTTGCATCGTTCAATGTGGCTTCATCATCAGTTCGTTGGTGGGACATAAATAAGCTGATCCGAAAAACGCCGAGCCTGTATCCTTCTGAAAAAAACTAACTGACCGCAAACTGAACAGGCTAGATTTTCGGCGCGTTCATAACCAGCATACTATCACGAATACCGCACTGGTCGAAAAATTCTTCCTCCTCACTCGAATTAAGCACCCATTTCGGTCGATCGCCAATATCCTGAACCGAGTGAGCAAACAAAATACCGGCCATGTCTCATATAATTCCCTAAAAATGATGGTATCTGTTATTCTGACCGACAGAGATGAAAAAGTGAAAATCTTTTGTCAGTAAACTCAAATCTTTACTGGATAATAACACACACGCTAAGCTCAAAAATAAGCTGTACAGAATCTGGGTCTACTGAACAAACAAATGTTTCTTATCATCAGTGCTGCCACACAAGACTTATAACAAGTCAGTGTTCTTTTCTCTTCAAAAGGCCTATACAGGCAGTGAAATGGTGCCATTAAGCTGCGTAAATCTGGAAGAGTGAAGAATATCAGCGCTCTCATCGGTGTTAGCAAAACCTAACTTTCCTAGTAAATTCAGATTTCATAAAGTTTGATTTCAAGTATATATATATGGAAGCTGCGAAGGAGATCGATATCATAACGGTTTCTATTTTCTTTCTTTCATTACTGTGTATCCAAAAAACGCGTCAGGCTTATCTT